CGGACTTACTGGAACCTGTAACGATTACATCATCCAAATAGACAGCGACTCCTGGCAAATTAGCCAACATAGTGTCCATTATTTGTTGAAAGATAGCTGGTGCTGGTTTCACACCAAAAGGTAAACGCTTATATTGGTAAAGACCTCTGTGGGTGTTAATCGTCAGTAATGGTTGGGAGGCTGGATCAACTTCAATCTGGAGATATGCGTCAGCCAGGTCAATTTTAGCAAAATACTTTCCTCCATTTAGTTTGATGAATAAATCTTCCTGTATGGGAAGTGGATACGTGTGATCTTCTAGAGCATTATTTAGACCAGTGGAAAAATCAGCACATATGCGAACAGTTCCATTTGCTTTTCTCACGACCACTATGGGTGCAGCCCACGATGAATAATTTACTGGCTCAATAACACCTAGTGCTTCTAACCTGTCCAATTCTTGGTCAACGACTGACAGAACAGCATAAGGCACTGGTCGTTTCGGTCTGAAAATGGGCTTTGCATTTTCCTTTAGTGGTAAGGATACTTTGGTGAATTTATAACAGCCCAGTTTGTTTTGAAATACACATGCATGTTTTTGTCGAAGATGATTTATGTAAGATACGGACGACAATTGAGAGGAAACAGAAGACTTTGATGTAGACATAACATTAGAAAGAAGTACATGAGATTCCGAAGTTTCACTAGCGCATACTTTGTCTGAAGTATTCGATTTGGAAATTTTATGAGAAGGCAATGAATCGGCGGTATTTGATTTGACATGGTGAGAACACATAACATTTGAATTGTTTGATTCAGAAAGATCATAAGAACATGTTTCATCAGAAGCATTTAATTCGTTAATATCCAGAGAGGATGCTTCGTCGGAGGCATTTGATTTAGAAATATTATTAGGGATTTGGATAGACTCATAGGAAACATTTTGAGAACATACCTCATCTAATAATTTATTCAAAGTATCAACATGTGCAATCCAATCTAATCCCAATAGATCTAAATCGTGTCGATTTGTTAGATAACAAACATCTGTAAATTTACTTCCCATAAGTTGAACATTGCATAGAACCTCTCCTGTCAACTTTACTATGTCTCCTGACGCATTTCGGGCGACATGTTCCGTCGGTCGGATGGATGGGCATCCTAACTTGTGCCATGTGTTCTTTGAAATCAACGTGACATCAGAAGCAGTGTCCAACTGAAGTCGTATAAGTTTTTCATTTACTAATAAATTTACAAATTTCCGCCTATTTTTAAATCCAACTTTAAAGGTTGCAAACGTGGTTTTAATTTGACTGTTTGATCGTTGCTTTGAATTTTCACTACGATGTTTAGTCTTGCGTTTATTTAACGAACAATGACCTTCTTTGTGGCCAATGCGATGACATTTGCGGCATTTATGATTCTTAAACGGACAGAATTTTACAAAATGCCATGCTCCGCAGAACCAGCATGGTGATGGGGGGTTGGCAGGTTGTTTCATGCTTGTACAGTTTTGTTTCGATGATTTTATGGATCGAAGCGCATTGATTGAATCAGAACCGGAAGGTTTAACCTTCTGCTGCACCATCGCAGTGTCATGCTTGAGATTAAGTAACCGCTGGCATTCGGTTGTGACCATTTGTAATGTCATATTTGGTTCTTGTTCAATGCGTGCCAACATTCTGGTACGGACATCTGCATCTTCTTCATTCTTTAGACCACATATGAAAATCAAGCATTTAAATTGGTCCGCTGTGATTTCGTTTATTTTGAAGCGTTCACACTGTCGATTTACCTTCCCGGCATACGTGAGATAATCGTCCTCTGGAGATTTTGTTATTTGGAAACATTTATAACGAGTATTAAATAATTAGGACGGTTCATCAAAAATATCAGATAAAATCTGGACTGTATCTTTGAATGATACATCACGTGGATTTTACGGCAAGATAAAATTCACATATTTATTATATTCCTGTGTTCCCAGTCTTCTTAAGAGTAAGCGGACTTTTGCTGCGTCATCAAGATGCGAGCATTCAACGCGGAAAATATCTTCACAACGGTGAAACCACGAACTGAAAATGATATTAGCTTCAGGATCATACTGGAATTCAGAAATAGAATTTATGATGCTTTCATGCTTATCTGATTGACAAGCTGAGGACGACTGTAATGAGAACATTCGTGCGAATGCATCCAAAAGCTTCGTCTGATTTGCCTTATTTTGTGCTTGCTGCATTTGAAGAATAGTTTTAAGGTCATCCAATGAAACAGGCATTTTGTACTGGATCAATCAATAGGAAAGAAAAAAAATTCGCCGTCGCCAGTTGTTATGACCTTGGATGGCTTTTACCCCGTGATACTTGTTATGACTTGACCTTTACCTTGACGCGCTAGGCTGAGTGGCTTAACCTTGAGTCTAATACGCGTGAGTTCGATTGGGGTAGAGAGAACTATTCTAAATCCTGATTGGTTGGCAAGCACGCGAGTGAAAGAAGACAAGACAGTTGGAACACTAAACTCTGGATTCTCTGAATTCGGATTACTACAAAAATGTACATGAATAAATAAGTGAACATCTTGACCACGACGTACGATAATTTGGAAAAATACAGTTATGCCCGAAACAGGGAATTAGGGTAGAAAATATAGTGCAAAATATAATGTTTAAATTACAATATTTTTGGAACAAAATAAGGTATGCTAGTGAGTGATACATAGAACGAAAGCTCGTGTTATGTAGAATAAGATAGGGACAAAAATAAATATAAGTGTTTTACAGGTTTTGAATGAAATGCAATAACGTCCCAAGAAAATAGCTTTCGTAATTGTCTTGGCTTCTTAATTCCCCGTTCATAACAACTAGATAGCGCTCTATGGTTTTTCGAAGGTGAGGCTTTCCTCGTACTTTTTTATCCGGTCTAAAAGTCTACCCTTACTGCCCATGCATCTCCTTTGGGGTTAGGTGCGGTTTCTGCACAAAATGAGAAACCTGTTATTTTTCGAAACGATTAATCAAGTATGAACAGCGATATTCCCTGGCTCAAAAAGACGCTTTATCTGCGATACGAGTAGTTAAATGACTGTACATATACTTGTCAGGTGTGAAATTCTATATTGTAGCCGATTTTCAGGCGTTAAATTTTATTTGACATCGAACTAAGTCATTTCAACTGTCATCTGCTGCCATGGGTCAGAAATAGAATTTAGAGCTGAGTGTTTACGATTTCACGACTGAGCGCCGAGTAGCTAAATACATGCCACATTCAAGTTTTCTATTATGCCAATCATAGTTTGAAAGACCACCTAACAAAAGTGGTTGTATGTTGATTCAACCAATACATGTTGATATCTCAAATTCTGTAAAGGATACTAGTAAATACTTTGGGGCCGCCATAGTTGTAATGAAAATATGTTGAAGTATTTAATGCAAGCATAGATTTCATGAGTTTTACAAAAAGATAAACGATATATCAACACATCCTGTAGGGTTTTCGTGCTTCAACGGTAGAATAATAATTCCCCCACATTCAGATCTGCAGTACTAGATGACCTTCATTCTGCCCATCTGGAAGCGGTAAAAATGAGATCACTTGCTTTTCAAACTTGGTATTAGATTGAGATTGACGCTGATATAGGTCGAAAATCGAAAAACTGTCCTGCTTATTTATGTAAGCTGTCAAACACTAAATCTATTTTGTTTGTATCTTATGAACTATGATAACATATTCATAAAAACTAACGTGGCTCATTTTTAACATCATATTGCGCCTTTGTTATTATTGATTCATATACATACATACAATACATTATAGACGCATAGACCGAAAATAAACTTGTGGCAATTAACGAATGCGTTTACTGTTAAGTTAAATAATTTTTGTTGTGTTTAGGCGTATCATAATAGTACATTCCAATCTCATGCTGCATTCTTGAATTCAAGTCCTTAACTTTATCTTGCCGAAGTTATAAACTTATTGGGATTGGTTCTATTTCGCTGTATTATTTAAAATTCACAGGATAACAACAAAATGTATTGCTGGATATCAAATATATAAAATGCAGATCATTTTGGTTTAGTGTGCAAAGTAGATTTGAATTTCAAAGTCTCAAAATATTCTTGGAATACTGCTTGTATAAGACGGAGTACAAACGTCGCCAGTCGTTCATGAACTTTTCCATTACACAAAATCATTGCACTTTAGTTTTATCTGAGTGAAAATAAATGTGATAGATAACTCCCTAAAGTAAATAAATCTATAGCGATGAGACATTGATGATGTTCTATCTTCTTTTAGCAGATACTGTAACGTGAAGTTACTTAGTCAAGGTTTTTCGCTATAACACATTACAAATCGACTAAAGTTACATGTCCCCAACTTCATTGGGAAGTTTATAGTTTGGGTTCCTTCTATCTCTATCTACGATAAGATGTAGCACTTCAAGACTTAAACTCCCTTACTTACTCACTCACTTACTTACTCACGTCTGTTACTATTCGTGGAGAAGCATAGGCCGCCCACCAGCACTCTCTATCCAACCCCGTCTATACACCGAATTTATCTTGGCTGTATTATTTTTAGAGCGCCTGAAGATCCAATTTTATCACATGAAGAGTGACTTTACAGGGATTAAAGCCAATAAACGCTGTATAAGGTTAAAATAATATACCGTTCACATAAATGTCTTCTCCCCAAGCTTTCTGTAAAAATGGGGTTGGTGAAATGAATTCAGCCAAGCCAATCTATATGTAGTAAATAGAGGACATAAAAATATCGTTATCATGTAATATATTCTTCAAGTGAGTGTGGGTTAATAGGAAAATGGTTAGCATATTAAGAAGTGATTATGAACCATCTGTCAGATGGAATATTAAAATAACGAAATAACAAGCAATTTTTAAATGCCTTTTAATCAAATACTTGATGCTGTATATTTCACACTTAAGTTGTTGAAGACAGCCGAATATAGTCAGTAATGCACACTTTTACGAATGCTGTAATTTGTTTAAAATAAGTGAGAGTACATCTTCTGTCAACCTTGATCCGGAACCCATTTTCAAGCTATGTAATCTATTATGACGTGTAAAGAAAAGCCATCGAAAAGTATTTTAAAAGCTGATCACGAGAAAGCAAGTGAGTCAATTTCTTGATTTTAGTGGGATGCAGTTTTTGGTGTGGAAGTAAACATCATAATAACAAGTTCATCTTTTTTTACTCAATATATCACTAAAAAACAAATAAAATATCTCATCATTTAAGTATTTGGGGTGGATATTTTATGCTTTATTGCTTTTTGATTATATTATATCAATCCGCTGACAAGATCATTCATTGATAAGTTGTGTATGTACGATTAAGTCAAATGGAATACAATTTATTATTTACTACATATATAGTAACCAAACTTCTTTATGCATTCAATTTTGACATTTGGCGAAGGACGTTTCAAAGTTAACGTTTATTTGTTAATGGAAACGCTTTTCTGTGATGTTGCCTTAACTACACTGCAAGCTACTAAAGCTGGTGTATTTTACGAATGTTAAAAAAATAATAGAAAGATTACTTTTGGTGCACAAGCATGAACATCGTTCGGCGTTGAGTCAAACTCAGAGTGGTAATTAGTTTTTTGTGGCCTGGAGATTCGACTCCAGATTGATCGTTTCCCATTGTTATTGAAATATGATCATCACCAATCCTCACTACTTAAATTGTGTTAGTGGATAACTGGGGAGTCTGTTTTGAATACATATGTTTTATGCAATCATTAATCCCGGCAGACAACAAAAAATTGAAGCAAAGAAAGTGAAGAGGAGAGAACATGGCAAAAGGTGCCTGAGAATGCATTATAAAAGTGGCATGTTTGGGGAAGATTATTAGTGTTAGCTTTCAATCACATGAGCATATACTTTTCTAAAATTGGTAGCACGGTATAGAACCCGAACACACTAAGTTAGCATGGGTACAATTTCGCAAACAGCTCGAAGTGAATCGCTCGCAACGTATGTTATTGGTGTTAATAAACCCTAAAACACGGTGTAGTTGCATAGACTTTAGTGCGTTAGAGTGATTTTTTAACTAGTCACTGGCACAATAATATTTAAAGTTTATTCACAGGTAAATCCTCAAATGTTTAATCCTATCTGAATATTTCTATAAGAAAAAAAATGATCGTCTAATACATGATATGCACAGAACAAACTGAAGTCAGGAGTGTATACCATTGGATCCTATATCAGAAGTATGAGGGTTGTGGGCTTACTGCGATCCATGAAGATCCTAAGTTTGATTTCTGTTGGGATTGTAGCTTCGCACTGCTGGGTAGTTTCATGCTATGACTAAATAGCTGAAGTTGATTGGTGGTGTAAAAGTACGAAAATAAAAGGTTTAAAGGTGCGTTTTATCTGATGTAACGTAACACTCACTATAATGAAGCCGATTTATTTGAGCTTATGATGCGCCAAAAAAGTGAAGCACTTTGTAACGGGGACTTTTTCTTTTCTTCATATTAATAATAAAACATTATAATAGTTTAAATTCACTATCTTCGGTCGTTTGATGTGTCGATTTCTCCTTCGTTTTAAGACAGTCAGTTAACTGATTGGTATTTTTTCCGACAGTTTATTTATTTCTCACTCAGCTTTTATGTCCTTATATCAGACTGTGTTTATTTATTATTACCATTAGTTTTTGTACCTTGAACTGATATCTGTGTCGCTGTTGTAGACCTTTGATGATTATTGAAGCTTACGGTTGTTGTCATGAGGAAATTAACTGTTACATGAATTTAGTATAATATTAATGTGTCTGGTTCGGTGTTTGCAAAAATTGTACACAAGTATGGCCATAATTCTGAGTAGTTCCATTAATTAAAGCTGGATATTGGCTAGGAATGGAATACAGGATGCGTATTTTGTTCTATTAGGGATCTGTTTGCTGGATATACCGACATCTCATTGTTCATATTTCAAAACCAAGACGTGAAACCAGTACCTGTCTTTTTAAACGCTTAACACATTACTGAGTAAAGCAATTAGTCCAAATAGCTACCAGATTCTGCAATCGTTCTCAATCCTATCGGTAAGAGTGAATAAAACAATGGTCACTTAAAGCAAAAGATAATGAGCTAAAGTTTTGGCCCGAATATTAACAGTGTGATGTGCGTACATACAGCTAACGTGTCCCAAATGGAAAGAAAGAGAAACCCTGACCTCAAATACTATACACAGTCTCATTCTCCGAGGAAAAACCTGTAACTAAATGACAATAATCAGGCATTTTGTTCAGAAAGCATGCATGCCAAAAGAGACTGATCAATAATAGGGAAACACAAATCCTTACAAGTAGATTAACAATCCATTTAGGCCGAAAATGTAAACGTTTCACCAGACTATCATTAAATTAATTGAATTTTTGTATTCGAGTTTTAATTCATTTTAATATTCAAGTAATGGCTAATGGATTTTAACAAAAGTATTTTTTTATCTAAAGGTATTGCACTTAACATAAAACACATTTATATTAGTGAGAATATTTATATGATCTGTCACATATTTTGTCACAGTTTTTACTTGGTTTGATTTTGATATTATGATTATTTCTCTTACTATTGAAGTTGTTATATTCTGACAACGAAAATGAAAAGTAATTTTTTAAAGAAAAACCATTTCTTGTTTTATTTATTTACATAATGAATAATTTGTCTTCATAAATGTGAACACTTTCTCACTGGACATTATATGTTTATTAAGGCTTTGTAAAAAAGAACTTGTCATTAGAACTGAAAGTTCACTATGTAGACATCATTTTGCTTTTAAATGAAATAATATATATTATTTTCGGGACAAATTCAATAACCTATCCAGTAAAATATGTTCTACGTGTAGAAGAAGTTAATGAAAATTTTGAAGAAGAGTATAATCCAAGTGAATCGATCTGTTTGCGTGAAATGCCATAGTGTTTAATCAGTATTAACTAAATGGATAACTTATTGATATAAGTGGTTGGGTGCTAGTTTTATTATTTAAAGTTAATGTGCACGTCACTAAGTCTGAAGAATCTGGGTATGATTCATTATCAAATCGTCAATGAATGTCGCTAGAGAGTGCCATATTAAGGTGACACCGCTATCCATGTTCGTTTCCTTTTCAATAATTATCTGGATAAAACTAATATCTTTTATCAGACTATGATCAATTGGCTAAATAATAATTTATTTGGAATATTTGTCAAATTTGAATCAATTCAATCCTTAGTACGACTGAAAATGTAACGTTTCAAGTTAGTTCATTCTGGTATAAAAAAGACTAGCTGCCACTTTCAATTATTATACACTTATAAAACCTACTTCAATATGCACAATGACAATATGATAAAACCTTCTTTTATTTTTTTACCCAGGTAAACTTAATTTCATTATATATATATACATATAACTCGGAAAATTCCAGGTTAAATTACTGTAGACATTCTCTTATATGCCGTCAAATGGAAGATAAATATACAGGAATGAATAATTCGGTGTTTATCTACTAGTCTACTCGCTCTTGTGGATTTATATACTAACTTATTCTTGGACCACTTTTTTGTCACACTCCGTGGAATTTACCTGAGTGGTTGACATAACTAATTGGTACCACTAATTCTGAAATATGAAACAGAAACTGGACGTTCAGTCTCTGACTCACAATTAAAAAATATTTAGAAAATTCAATCAAAGATACTGGAAAGCGTGGTCTTCAACCTACGTTACATTGAAGCAGCCTTGGCTGTCCATAATTTAAAACCTGGTTTATCTAGGGCAACAACAATTTGTTAGATGTCTTTATTTGTATCACAGTCCTAGTTTGTGATTTTCATTTGTTTATTCAAATATTCACCCCCTTTTTTCTTCCTACTCCTTCGCATGTAAAATAGTTTTAATTCATTCTAATTAACTACCACTATCAATTATTTTTGTAAGATTGTTTCAATCCAGTGTTATTGATTGGCCTTTATACATCTTTATCTTAACTTTGCGATATTGTCAGTTACCTTTTCACCTCATCGATCGTATATTTCTTATTTTTCGTAAATTATCTCCTTCAATAACTGTTTGTTTACCTAAAATGATATCGTCAAATTACATATGATTAATCAAATTCTAACAGATAAATAATTATACTCAGTAAACGGAGATTTGTGGTTTTCATAAATTTTAAACTGCGCACTGATCTTATTTAAATCCGCATTGAAAACTTGTATCCACTGGATGTTGATTTCATCCTAGTATGGAGGTTCTCATTTACGGATATCCAAGAATCTGAAACTGGTAATCGAACTCAGGATCTTCAGTCTCATATATGTATTCCTAACATTCAGAGTACTGAACTGCCACCCAGTGGTATAGAAGCCTTACGTCAATTAATTCACAATATTTCTCAACCTTTATTTATACCAGAACGAGACGATCATTCGGTGCTTACAAGTTTTCAATGGTGGTTTTATTGAATACAGTTGTTGATAAGATATTCTGTCCTTTATAGATGGATCATTCTCAAAACTCTAATGAATATTAATCTTTTTTATTAAGTACATTTCATTCTACTACTGGTTAAACAAAAATTTGAGCTGTGATACTACCCGCGTGCCCAGACCGAAGCAGGCGGTTTACTTAGGGGGCCACACTCGGAGCCTTTAACATAAGGGTCTGACCCACAAGGCAGTGGAGCAATGTAAAGAGATGCAGTCCCATGCTAGCCAGTGACCAACAATTGGTTCATACGACATTCATTCATTCAGGATACTGGGGCCCATGTGCACCATTGATTTTGAATCAGGGTTTTCCAACTCCCCTAGATGGACTCTCCGTGTCCACCGGCCTTGTTAAATCGCCGGACATTCACTTTTCGTTCTCTCAATTTCGTAAAGGACAGCAATGTTGGGAGAAGGAAGTGAGTAGGACTTCCCTGACAGTGGTTGTATGCACGTGACCATATGAGAGCATTTCGAGAGGGAGGGCTCACACTCCTCACTCTCGGCCGTACCAGGGCATATATATATATATATATATATATATATCCCCGTATTTGTTGTTCACTTAAAGTCAGTACTCTTGTGTTAAATTTTACAAAACAAATCTAAATAGTAGGTTATAA